TTTAAAGGGATACTCCACCCAAAAATTAAAATTCTGTCATAATTTACTCAACCTCAAGTTGTTCCAAACGTGTATGAGCTTCTTTATTAAGTTCCAATCGTTCTTCAAAATATCTTAGTTTGTGTTAAGGAGAAGAAAGAAACTCACACAGGTTTGCTACTTGAGGGTGAGTAAATGATGACTGAATTTTCATTTTTGGGTGGAGTATCCCTTTAAGACTGTCTTTATCAAACACAAAAAAAACAAAAAACAAATCTTCAGCCAAAGATCACAACATGGACAAACGGTCCTTTAGCAAGGGAGAGCCGCAGGGGTAATTCATTATACATAAACACTAAAACCAGTGGCCCTGTCATTTACTTGACTTGATCTGCCAAAAAATAAACTCAACATCCCACCAAAGACCAGCTGCTATCAACAACACCTTAGAGACATCATCAAATTTCTGCCAAACACCTTTAATTCCTCTGAAAAACAGGTGCAACAATATTGGCATAGTGGTACAGTAATCTCATTACAAACGGCAGCGACCTACAGCACACTATTACACAGTTAGAGCCAAAGCGCTGCTTAATCATGCCAACAGCATTTCAGACTCTAATCTAAAGACAGAGAGCTATAGAAGAAAAGGAGCTAAAAGGATGTCAAATTGAAGAGTGACACTCTACCCTGACCTCTCATGGGCTTGTTTAGGCTTAACAAGGTCTCATTAATGGCAGCTTGTTTTTAATCTAAACCATCTTCCAGTAAATTCAAGCTATTCTTTTGTCCTCTCCAAGCGCTTGCTGGATATGACGTTTATAGCCTTTCTTTAGACGCTGAGAAAACAAGTGGCCAATTTTGATTTATTGTTCTGGTTAAGTGGTAAAAGGATGAGGAACTTGAGAAAGATGCCCCCTTTCTTCTCTGTACATCGTCTTTTGTAACACCCACTCAGCTTTAAGTGATGAGGACTATCGTAATGTTTATATGGACCCACCTGCTACACTTTTTCATATAAGAAATGCTGCCTCGGGAACAGAGAGTGCATTTTAAACAATGACATAATTACTTATCTATAAAAAATAAAGAACTAAAGCAAAGTGCGCAAGTTGGACTGTATTACCTTTCAGCAATAAACTCAGTCTTGCTTCATGACCGTCGGTTGAGCTTTTCACAGACATGCTAAAACTGAAAGTCCCAGTTGAGTGCTAAAATGTTCAGCTTCTACGAACTGCACTGAACTCCTATCTAGGCCTCTTCAGCAAATGTTTTAAAGGAGTAGTTCACTTTTAAAAAAAACTTTTCCTTATAATTTACTCACCCCCATGTCATCCAAGATGTCCATGTCTTTCTTTCTTTAGTCAAAAAGAAATTAAGGTTTTTAATGAAAACATTCCAGGATTTTTCTCCATATAATGCACTTCAGTGGGAACCAAACAGTTCAAGGTCCAAAAGACAGTTTCAGTGCAAACTGTTCAAAGGGCTTTAAACGATTCCAGACGATGAATAAGGGTCTTATCAAGCGAAACGACCACTCATTAAAAAAATAAATAAATAAAGTTTATGTTTTATAAGCTCAAATGGTCGCCTTGCTCTGTTCTGTGATGTCCGTTAATCTCCTGTTCGAACTTGTTTATCAAAATGAACAAATCTTTTTTCAAGTCAATTCGTTCATTTTCGTTGAATGAACCAATTGACATGAAAAACGATTTGTCCATTTTGATAAATGAGTTCAAACAGGAGAGTCATGACAAACAAAACTATGAGCTTTTTTCTATACAGTTTTAATACAGTATATACATGCAAATATTTCTCAATGCATGTACTGCATATGCGTGTATTTATACAAAATAATTATACACAGTACACACACACACACACATATTATGTAAACACAAACTTTTATTTTGGATGTGATTAATCTTGCCCAGCACTAAAAGCTAAATGAGCCCAACTTTAAAGGGATACTCCACCCAAAAATTGAAATTCTGTCATAATTTACTCAACCTCAAGTTGTTCCAAACCTGTATGAGCTTCTTTATTAAGTTCCAATCGTTCTTCAAAATATCTTAGTTTGTGTTAAGGAGAAGAAAGAAACTCACACAGGTTTGCTACTTGAGGGTGAGTAAAGGTGATGTGATGCAGAGAACAGGTTGGCTCTAACCTGTTCTCTGCATCACAGAACAGAGCAAGGCGACCATTTGAGCTTATAAAACTTAAACTTTTTTTTTTTTTTTAATGAGTGATCATGTCACTTGATAAGACACTTATTCATCGTCTGGAATCGTTTAAAGCCCTTTGAACAGTTTGCACTGAAACTGTCTTTTGGACCTTGAACCGTATAGTTCCCACTGAAGTGCATTATATGGAGAAAAATCCTGGAATGTTTTCACCAAAAACCTTAAAAGGTTTTTTAAAAGTGAACTACTCCTTAAATAAATGATATCCAAAGTAATTGACAGAATACGCCTTATTCACGGCAGCACCATCTTTGATTTTTAATGAGAATGAAAGCGAGGCTGTGAGGGATAGTCATGCATCTCTTCAGTGGGCTGTACTGTTATTTAATGTGTTTTCAGATTGTTCTGCTTATGAAACATTGGAAAAATTTCTTTCCAAGAAATTGCAGTTGACAAAAAACTCCCAACAATGTAAGCTGTGGAAAATTGTAAGTAATCTAGGAGCTTTATTCAGCTTTTTACAGCGGATGCCATTGGAAATATGGTTAGTCTATCCCTCACAGCCTCACTTTCATACCTGTCATGGCGCTGCTCTGAATAAGGTCTATGAATGTCATTAAAAGTACACGGATGTAATCTTTTTTGTACATCAGATATACAAGTACAAGATTTGTTTTTAAAAGTGATATATTAAACACCTTTATCGACTTTGCTTTTTAATTTTTTTTATTATACTGTAATTACTTTAAACTGTATAATGTTGAAGGTTAGGTGAGGCGAGCAATATATTGTCTGTTTGAGGGTATGCTCATATTTTTATTAAATTCCTGCTGTAACTATTTAGTACATTTATAGCGTATTTTTATTGACTTTTGTATTTTAAGATGCCTGTTAAAATCTGTCTAGGGACAACAGATGGAAACTAGCACTTGTAGCTAACTCTGGCTTGTTGTTCAATGAGCATCAAATAAAATATTATTATTATATTATAATTAAATATTTGCTAATCTGAGTTATCTACAGTATGTTATCTATTTTCATACAGGATGGATAATGTAAGTAGCTGGCTGATCTCAAAAGGTCAGTAAACCAATACATTTAATTGAAAAAAAAAAAAGATTTTGAATGAGCTCTGTCAACTTCAAGCTCAAAAATGGCAGCAAGAAAAGTATCATACTCCATTCAACTTCTGCACTGTATTTCAAGTCTTCTGAAACCATAAGATAGATTTGTTTGAGGCAGAACATTTAGTGAATTCCTTGAACCAAACAAACGACATCCACAATCATGCAGTAAGTCAATAGTAAACCCACAGCCCCATCTGTTGGATGAATATGGTACTGTTATAATTGATAACCTAAGACCAGTGGTTGAGAGCCCGTGGCCTTTGACCAAAATCATGGGGCTCGTCAAATCTAAATTACCCGACAGCAACTTTTATATCCGAGTGAAGAGCGAAGCGTTTGACACGCCGCAGACTTCCCATTAGCCTGGATGCCAGCCGAACTGAGCCCCGCCCACAACATTTGAGGATGGGAAGTTCAATCTGGACTTTGATCTGTTTTGAAGCAAGCCTTCAAGAAACCAAAGCTGTTCGGACCAATCACATTGTCAGGGCGGGCTTTATATGATGATGGACAGATCAACAGTAATGTAAAATCGTCCACGCCACCAAAGAGCGCTTGGCTTGAATTTGTTTACAACAAAGGGTGCTTCTCATTAATTATTTTTCCATCATTATTCCTTTCCGCGCGTCTTAGCTCCACCCCCTGTAGGATGTGAGGGAAGGCTGCAAGGAAAGTAAAGGAGGACGGAGGAATCGAATGAAAGCTTTTTTTATACATTGGAATACTTGATCACTCGAGCGTCACTTAGTTCACAGCGTCATCAGCAGTGCCCAAAGGATCTGCCCTTATGTTGTTGAAGTTTGGTTATTTAAGAAATTCATATAAAAATAATAATAAAGCAATATTGCCTGTTGAAATATGTGAGATGTGTGGTTTATATAAACTGCAGAGGTAAAGAACAAACTAAAATGATTGTGACCGATGTGAAAGGGGAGGAGAATTTATACGTGCGTCACATTTAGTCGATAAAACACTTCCTCAAAGGATACACCCGTGTATCCTGGCTCATGACTCCTCTGGAAGCCTCCTCACTCCTCAATCCGCGCCTGCCTAAGCTTGATTGGTTTCCGGGTCATAGGATGGAGGACGGAGGAGAGAGAAGACGATAGTGATATTGAGAAGCACCCAAAAGATGGCTGCCTGTCTAGCGTGCTCATTGGCTGCCCTGTGGCAACTGCACCAGCCTATAACTGAGCCCGGCGTGACGTCACTTCAATGAAGGGCGCTCGTGCCCTCATCGCGTCTTAGCCCGCCAGAATGGGTGTGGGAGCTGTCTCCCAGATCTCTTCAGCTAAGCTCTCCGCATCGCTGGACTCCGAGAGAAGCCGCCGCCGCCGTCTGAGGAAGCGAAAAGACAACTTAGGACAGTGCCTGAAGAAGTCAGTTGTCTTTGCCGCCTTCAGCAATCCGTGCGAGCTACGCTAGTATTCGGCAACATATCCTTTTTCTCTGTGCTCTTTTTTTGTGCGTGTTCACCGCTGCGACACCACTCTTCTAAAAGAGCAACAAGACGTCTCTTTCAAGATGCCTCACACTTTCTGAGGCTCGTGCAGAGAGCCCCGCACAGCGTCGGAGACCGCCATGTGATCTACACTCTCTGCCTGGACCGGGAACACGCAGCGCTCGCTCGAAAAGACAAATCGCAACTTCCGCTTCATGCTGACTTTAAAAACACAAGGCTGCTGGATTTAACAAGCACACAAACACCTACCTGCCCTGCTCGGCGAGCAGCGATCCTTCATCCTTTAGTCTCTTGCTCTTAGCAGCACAATCCTCCAGCAGCACCTCTCGCCGCCGTTTGATAACGTGCAACCAATCAACTCCCTCCTTCTCCACATCATCCACCTTCTCTGAGTCCAGCTGAAACTGCTCCACCGTCGTCTTGGAAACTCTCTCCCCCACCTTACGCTTCCAGCCAAAGGAGGCCATCCTGACAAAACAAACAATAACGTGTTTATTAAATCATTTCTTTTAGTTAAAAAGTAACTGCTGTGAAACTGACAACTGTGAATACAACAATAAAAATCTAACGATTAAAAGAGCAGCCACTCAGTTTCAAGATTTTTTTTAAACAATAAAAGTAAGCACTGCCAATTGTAACTCTTCTGTTATTTTCAGCTTATCATGCACATTCCTACACAAGGCACATTTACACATTTTATCTTACATGTCATTAACAAAAAGTGTAATTTAGGAATACGTTAAGTGAAAGACATAAAGAAAGACATTTGAAAATTATTCTGAGGCCAAACCTTGAGGGTATTGGTACAGCCTACAATATAATTTGGGTACCTGACTCACACCTTAGACCTATTTATGTTGTAAGATTGCATGCTTTGATTTCAAAGACTAATAATACAACACTGCTTTTTCAATGCAAAGGCTCTGCCAAAAACAAAATCATCTTTAAAAATTAAATATCAACAACGCTATATTGTATAACGTTAACTATATTTGATTTGAAATCAAAGAACAGAAATAGACTGAGTACTATGAGTTTCTTTGAAATGTTGTTAAGGCTAAAATTATTTATATATTCAAAAGGTTTTAGCAACAATTATTTTGAAGAAAAGTTACATTTAAAAAAAATCAATCAACACACTAAGGCTGTAGAACGTATTAAAATAAATGCCTCTTAAATGATTGTCTTTACATTAATAATGGCTTAATTCGTCTCATATTGAACCTGTAAGTTAACTGAAATCAGGTCAAGTGCACTTGTAATGCAAATGCAGCCAACACCTTCTGCAGCTGAAGTAACCCTGGAAGACTCTTTTCCAGCTGCACGGGTCACACTCATGTTACTGTCAACTTACTGTCATCACAAAAAACACAAAGCGCCAGCCACTAAAGCTCTTTACGCTGTCAGTTTTCTGAAGAACGAATATGTTTGCGCGTGCGGCTGAACACATAACGTTACGTTAAAATATAAGGTCCAAAAGCCAAACCTGATTCTTAAGTAGTAATTAATTCACAAATGCATCACTTGGCAGATTGTGGATCTGTCGGAACAGCGCGTTATGGCTGGCGTTACTTACTAATGTTTTGACTTGTCCACTCCACTCCGCCCTCTAACCCGGAAGTACTGTACAACTCTCTTAAAGGTAAAGATACATTTTAATAACCAATCAACCCTCTGTCAAGCGAGGCTGGTTCTGTTAGCCATGTTTTTTTATTTTTTTTATATATAAATGTGGTAGCAAAAACATGGGAATTTTATTTTGTAGATAAACAAATGAACTTACATTGATCAATTGAATATGTATTCATCAAGAGCCAATATGAACCTCCTGTTTTCCCCACATTATTTATAGCAAAAACATGATTTTAATTATATTTTCATTATTATTTTTATTATTAATATTTGCATCATTTGCATTTTTGTACATTAGGCTACCATCATGTTAGCCTGCATAACACACTAAAGACTTCTAATTCAATGTTAGGCTGCATAGTTTAAAGGTGCCAAATGGGATTTAAAATCAAATCATACAACATGTTCCATACCAGATGGGGGCAGTATACCTCCAGAAATACCTCCACGGCCACGCGCTCTCTCATGTCTTCAAACAATATGGGCGAGTGCTGTGTTGCTCTGTCTCCCTCGTGCATATTCATCAAATCAATTGACGCGATAGTAAAAGGTTGGAAGACCGCAGTTTCACGTGGAGCATTTGGAGATTTTCAGAGATTAGAGACTTAATGAACAACATCTCAATACTAAATTATAAGGGCCGTCTCATAGACAAGCCGGTGCATTTCGACGATATGGGAAAATTAAAGCCCAGGCTATTATTTCTAGTTTTATGATGTTCGATTTGTTCATATTACATTTTTATCATTAGTTTGAATTACTTTGACAGACAGCAATTCCCTGAAGCTAGCGTCTTTCAGAGCTGCCAACTCTCACAACACTTTTCACACACTTTCACGCCACACATTTTTGTCATGCACAGAAAAGGACACGGAGACCGATGTCAGCTCTCAGATTCTGTTCATTTTATTACGCAATTCAAACAATAAATACAGTATTGGCGCTTTACACGACAGATCCCTAGCGCACGTGAACCGATCATCTCTACTAGCTAATGGTAAAAGAACACGAACACTGTTGAAAGATACAGTATGCTACAACTTACCAAAATGTATTCCTCATGCATAATATCGACCAATCATTTTTTTTTAACTCTTCCCTGAACTGAAATGTAGTAGTGGGCTGTATTTTCCACACGACTGACGTCAGGTTCAAGTACACACAAGCTGGCGCGAGCGCGACTTACTCGTGTACTGCAGTTTGGCTGGTGCTAACGTTGCCCGCCCGCATACCGCCTCCCATGGTCGAAACTGGTATTACGACACCTGCCGGGCCGGGGCTAGTAATTTAGCATGCTAATTCAGGTTAATATCTCGGCAGCACTATTACTTGTCAGTTTTTTAATGACATCATCAACCTTATTTCTTCTCAATCTTTTGATGCGTGTTGCTCATTTTTGGGATATTTTAACCTCAATTTTTACAGATGGCACCTTTAAATCAACCGGAACCGGGAACACGTCCCGTAAATCCTGATGTATTTGGTACATCATAAGAATGGCGTCTAAGTTAATATTAGTCTCTCTGTTTATCTCGAGGTTTACCCATAGACAGTAAAAGAAAGGGGTTTACCGCAGTTCTCTAGATCCAGGCTGCATCCAGATCTGATGAAGGACCAGCAGCTGGTCACGACAACAACGCAGTCCTGAAGTGTCAACTAGTCTCTCCTCTATGGTCAACTAGTCTCTCCTCTATGGTCTAACTAGTCTCTCCTCTATGCGCCTGGACCATTCCCCAACGCATCCTTAAGTGCCAGCCTCATCAGCCCTGTGAAGGCCTCATCGAACATGACAGCCATCGGCACTGATCCTCAACAACTCGTCTCCATACCGGTGTGATTCCTTTGACTTCCAACCAGATGGAAATGGATAAATAGTCTAAATGTTCCGATCCAATCTGACTTGTAATGCTGCCCGAATCATAAACTGTTCCTTTGTTGGCCAGAGGAGAACTAGCCCTCAGACTGAGTCTGGTTTCTCCCAAGGTTTTTTTTTTTTTTCTCCATTCTGTCACCTGATGGAGTTTTGGTTTCTTGCCACTGTTGCCTTGGCTTTTGGCTTGCTTGGGGACATTTAATATTCAACAATATTGATCTGCCTTACTTAAGGTGGACGTTGATGCAATTTTCTTCTAAAAATAAACTTTGTTGAATTATTTTCATGCTATCACTGTGAAGCTGCTTTGATACAATCTGTATTGTAAAAAATAAATAAATAAATAAATGGACTGCATTTATATAGCGCTTTCACAGACCCAATGGCCACCAAAGTACTTTACATTTTTGCCTCACATTCACCCATTCATACACTGACGGTGGTCGGCGGTGTCTATAAAAAGCACTATATAAATGAAGGTGATTGACTTTAGCCCTTTGTACAAACTGATAGATGTGGAGATCAATGCAGCAAAAAATAGAGAATGAACCTTACAGAGAAGGAACCCATTAAGGAACCTGATAATTTTTTTTATGTTTGTTTGTTATAATCTTGTGTAAGAATCCCACTGCCCGCACAGCTATGCGGCCAATTAACCTTCAAAGCACACTAACCTTTGAGTTGCACTCACATTGATCACAGACATCATGTGCACTTTAACTATTTCTGCTGACAGTTCTGAATTGCTGATCAATCATTGGTCACAACCGCTATGCCATATGTTGATCAGGTAAACAGATAAATAAATGAATGTTCCACAATAATGTCTGTAGAGTAGAATATATTCAGTGATTTCATCATCCATCCTTTTTAATACTTCATTGTAAGCACAGATCTTAAAACTAAGATCTATTGTAGATCAAATTTGCTGCAAATAGATGTGAAGAGCAAAAAGTTAAACAGTCAACACAAATCAGTGAAACTGATACAATCAGCTGTATTGATACTGGCTGACTATTCCCCTGCACTCAGGGTAAAATCTGTGATAAACTCTATGGACTCTATGGACTTCACCTCCATTAACTACATGTGCAAAAAAAAAAAAAACACTCCTCCCTTCCAACCCTTCCTGCAATTGGCTAAACTACCATCACTCCCCCTTTAAACCCAGTCAAATATCTAGACTAAGTTCTAATACACCCTTTCTGACAGGAATCTGCAGTAACTCAGAGGAGGTTTTACTTTCCAGCAGTCAGTCATCATGTCAGACAGAGGTGCATTTGATACCAATGTGGTGACCCTCACTAGGTTTGTCTTGGAAGAAGGCAGAAAAGCCAAAGGAACAGGGGAGCTTACGACCCTTCTCAACTCCATGTGCACAGCCATCAAAGCCATTTCCACAGCTGTCAGAAAAGCTGGGATTGCCAATCTGTGAGTAGCCTATTGTTGCATCTTCACCATACAAACATTTAGACACTTTATGACTGCATTTTTAGACCATTAATTGTTGCATCAGTACAAAAAAAGTGCGGTATTCAATGTACTCTAGCACCACCTAGAGGTGTCCCATTATTAGAACCTTCTCAATAGTTGAAACCTTTATTTTCATCTGTGCACAATTTAATATATATATATATATATATATATATATATATATATATATATATATAGATATATATATAGATATATAGATATATAGATATATATATATTCACTGTTGTAGTGGGAGATCAGTTCATCTACTTTGCAAACACACTGCAGACTGAGGCAATGATTAGACCTTGTCTCTTGTTGAAATAGGGGCAAAGGTCGACTCATTCCCGTTATCAGCACTGTTAGAGAAAAAGTATATGGCCACACAATTCTACATGCAACAATCAATCACTGTTATAAATATCTAACTCTCTTTCTCAGCTATGGAATTGCTGGGAGCACAAATGTTACAGGTGACCAGGTGAAAAAGTTGGATGTCCTGTCCAATGATCTTGTTATAAACATGATTAAATCCTCCTTCACATCCTGTGTTTTGGTGTCTGAAGAAGATGAGAAGGCCCTTATTGTTGAACCAGAGAAAAGGGTGTGTCATTGTTGTTTTTCTGTTTTTGGACCAACCTTAAATTAAAAGTCAAAATAAATGTAAAATTTAAATGTAATTAATAGCATGCAGGTGTTTTGTTTTAATAGAATTTTAGTCTGAATTTTTGCCAAAGTAATATGTGAATTATATTTGTTTGTTATGGTCTGTATTGTGATCAGTGAAATCATTTTGTTTGTTGCTTCATTAAATCCATCAGTATTAACTAGCTACTTTAATTCATTTGTGTTCGCCCAGGGCAAATATGTGGTTTGCTTTGACCCCCTGGATGGCTCTTCAAACATTGACTGCTTAGCTTCTATTGGAACCATTTTTGCAATCTACAGAAAGGTACAGTCCAGACTTTCAGACCCACTTCAGTACAAACAGATATCTCCACAGTCATGTAAATGAATGCTTTTGTTTGTTTGTTTGTTTGTTTGTTTGTTTGTTTGTACATGATCTCCAGGAAACTAATGATGAGCCCTCAGAGAAGGATGCCTTGAGGAGTGGCAGAAACATTGTGGCAGCAGGGTATGCTCTCTATGGCAGTGCTACCATGATGGTTCTCTCCACAGGCCAGGGAGTCAACTGCTTTATGCTGGATCCTGTATGTCAGCAGGCATTGTTACATACCTTATATTCTGTATAAGTATATACACTCACCTAAAGGATTATTAGGAACAATTATGCAGCAAAGCATTTGTGAAGCCAAAACACGCACAACCTTGAGGCGGAACAGCAGAAGACCCACCGGGTACCATTCATCTCCACTACGAATAGGAAAAAGAGGCTCCAATTTGTAAGAGCTCACCAAAATTGGACAGTTGAAGACTGGAAAAATGTTGCCTCGTCTGATGAGTCTCGATTTCTCTTGAGACATTCAGATGGTAGAGTTAGAATTTGGCGTAAACAGAATGAGAACATGGATCCATCATGCTTTGTTACCACTGTGCAGGCTGGTGGTGAAATGGTGTGGGGATGTTTTTTTTGGCACACTTTAGGCCTCTTAGTGCCAATTGGGCATCGTTTAAATGCCACGGTCTACCTGAGCATTGTTTCTGAACATGTCCATCCCTTTATGGCCATCATGTACCCATCCTCAGATGGCTACTTTCCTTCCAGCCAGATAATGCACCATGTCACAAAGCTTGAATCATTTTAAATTGGTTTCTTGAACATGACAATGAGTTGACTGTACTAAAATGGCCCCCACAGTCACCAGATCTCAACCCAATAGAGCGTCTTTGGGATGTGGTGGAATGGGAGCTTCGTGCCCTGGATGTGCATCTCACAAATCTCCATCAACTACAAGATGCTATCCTATCAATATGGGCCAACATTTCTAAAGAATGCTTCCAGCACCTTGCTGAATCAATGCCACGTAGAATTAAGGCAGTTCTGAAGGTGAAAGAGGGTCAAACACAGTATTAGTATGGTGTTCTTAATAATCCTTTAGGAGAGTATACTTTCAATGCATTACCTCTTAAAAGTTTAATCTTCTGCATCCTTTCCTCGTCCATCATTAGGCCATCGGTGAGTTCATACTTGTGGACCAGAATGTCCGGATTAAGAAGAAGGGAAAGATATACAGTCTAAATGAAGGCTATGCACAGCATTTTTACCCAGATGTCACAGAATATCTACAAAAGAAGAAATTCCCAGAGGTAAGAGCCCCCAGATTCTGAGCATGTCTCACTGAAGGGTCTGAGCTATAAAAAACAGAATTATATCGTATCTGTTAAAGGAACACTCCACCGTTTTTTGAAATAGGGCTTATTCACATTCTTTCGTACATTTAGATATGTGAGCAAATGCATTTTTGTCTCAGTGCATGCGTTGTTTTAGTTTGACAGGGTCGGCACTAGCTTAGCTTAGCACAATGAATGGAATGCTTTGTTGCCAGCTAGCATGTCCTGAGTAAAAGTGATTAAAAAAAACAAACAAAAAAAACAAACACGTAATTACTTGTGGCCTGCGTATTCACAACGAGTACAAATAGCGATGCTGATTGACAGCCGATTTCCTTGGCAGATATTGACTTGGGACTACTATATATATATATTATTTACTTATATTTGATCAAAAGTTATAGTAAGAAAAGCAATTTTGTGAAATGTTATTTCAATTTAAATTAAATGTTTTTCAATATATTTTAAAATGAAATGAATGCAATGATGGCAAAGCCTTTTTTTAGAAGCAATTATTCCAGGATTCAGTGGCACATCATTCTTCAGCAATCATTCAAATACTGATTAGATGCTTAAGATTCAATATTCAAAACAGTTGTGCAGCTTAGTGTACATAATACTTTTTCCCAGGACTCTCTGTTTAATAGAAAGTCCAAAACAGTATTTATTCAAAATTAAAATATTTTGTGACATTATAAATGTCTTTATACTGTCACTTGGTTCATTTATAGGATCTTTGCTGAATAAAATTGTTAATTTCCTCATAAAAAAGTAAGTCCATTAAAGTTAAATGCAAACATTTTTACTTTCACTCAAGTAAGTTGTTGTAAAATTTAAATGCAAATTTCTCAGTACCCTTTTCTCTTTTGAATGTGCAGTATATTTAGAACATAGAAAGTTTGTCCATTTCAGCACAGTGAATATTTTTAGCCAACATAAGCCTCTTGCACTGACTGTTTTCTTGCTCTGACCTGCAGGATGGCAGTTCACCCTATGGAGGGCGCTATGTGGGCTCCATGGTAGCTGATGTGCACAGGACTCTGGTCTATGGAGGAATTTTCCTGTACCCTGCTAATGTCAAGAGCCCCAAGGGCAAGGTGAGAAAAAAAAAAAAAAACATTACACAGTGAATGCTTTGAAATGCCAACTACATCACAAGGTATTTGTGTTATAAAAAGATCAATGTCATATTAAAATGTATTTTGAGGCAACGGTCTCACTGATTTCATGTTTCTTTCTTGGCTCCAGCTGAGGCTGTTGTATGAGTGCAACCCCATGGCATTCATCATGGAGCAGGCCGGAGGTATGGCAACAACAGGAGCCATGAATGTTCTAGACATCAAACCTGACTCAATCCACCAGAGGGTTCCTGTAGTGTTGGGCTCCCCTGATGATGTGCAGGAGTATATCTCCATATACAAGAAACACGCCAAATGAGATGCACGTTTTTTTTTTAAATTGACTAAAACCATCACTGAACCTCAAAAAAAAAAAATTGTGACACAGAAGGACAAAACATGAAACATGTTGTGTATATATGGGAACAAGTTTCCATTTTAAATTTCATTTTCACAATTGTTTGTTCTGTCTTTTTTTTTTTTTTACTCTTATGGCCCCTAGTTATGTGATTTATAATAATAAAAGAGATTATAAGTATATATAATCTGAATGTAAAGTGACTGCCATCAAGCCCTAAAACCTCTCACCTTGAAAATAAAATCAGAACTTTGTTTGAACTGTGTATGCATTAAACGTCATTTAATGATCAGAAATCATTGCAAAAAAGCTATAAGCTTTCATTTATTTGTAGTCAAACACAAATCTCATGTCATAGTGTCAATCATTGGGGTCCAAGCACTATGGCCCATGAAGCTATCAGTTGAAAATGTATGATGGGGTTTCAGAAGTCTATCTTGAATCATTTAAATGTAGGGTTTGATAAAACATTAGTCCCAGGTGCCAAAAGGGACAATTACTTTAAAAGAAATCACTCATTAAAAGAAAATTGAAAGTAACCTGCCGTAAGTCATGTTAAAGCTATGCGGTGGTGTGTGGACATCATTTCAACATTTGAATTTGATGAATTAGTCTATGTCATGCCACAGGTTTGTGTGAACTGTTGTGCTTAAAAAATGTGAAAATGTTGCCTATTTAAAGTAAATAGCCTAAATCATTTATATTCAATATTTTTGTAGAAATTACAAAAAATAAGTCTATACGAAACACTACATAGAATTCTCGAAAAAATGTAATATGACTGCATGACAAAAAATAAAAACAAACAAACTAACTAATAAATAAATGGAACAATTCTTGGGCCGCTAGTGGCCAACGTCGGTCGTGAGAGCCACAATCATGCAGGGTTTTGCTCCCATACATGTCAACACTCCCTTTTTTCCAGGGTTTGTTTTTTAGCCCTATCTCCCGGACCCCTCCCGGATAGTTATTTCTCCCGGGAAACACCCGAAATTTGCATGGCCCAAACTCCTTTATGAATAATCGGACCAATATATTTGTCTAGACTTTGATTGGTTTATTCAGGTGTGTTTGATTAGGGATGGGGGGCAAAACCATAGACAGTAAAAGAAAGGGCAAAACTCTCTAGGACCCTGCTATATGGTAGGCTATATTTTAAAAAAATAGACATGACAAAAGCACATAACAAAATTATTATAATTCAAACCTATTCATAATACAAACTAATAGTCAAATTACAAATAAATCAAAGAAAATAATCCCGTTTATTCATCAGTTCGTCTTTATCACTTTACAATCCTGCTCTGATAGGAAGGTATTTGTCGCCATCATATGGTGTGACACTCGAACAACAGCGGAAAAGTAGGTCAAACTGTGGTGACGTCAGACGCAAAAAAGCGTCACTGTATTCCTCATCGATCGCAGGTGTTTCTCTACTGGTCTCCGTGGAGCAGTTACTGTACGTATTTAGGTAAAATCACCTTTAGTTCCCATTCATCCACAAAGTATTTTTTTCTGTGTTGTAATCGCGTTGACTGGATGTCTCAAGTATTTTCTTTAGAGACACATCTTTTAAAGCTAACTTAGCTAGTAATGTTTACTATTGGTTAAATGGCAGCTTGTCGCCAAGAGAATATTGTGATTTTGACACAACAGTTAGCTACTTATTTGTAGAACTGTAACAATTAGTTTATGTAACACCAAGAGAAAGCCCATAGCCAGTGGGAAATTCTGGATAATTAAGTCATGTAACTTATTTACCGAACACTAATTCAGACTTCCTGTATGTTATTCTGACTCTAAAAGCGTTTAACACGCGCTTTGAACTCTCGTGTTTAGTGTTTATTAAACTGAGGGTTTCGTTTGTAGTATTTTCAAACAATATAACCGTAAATAAAACAGACATTTGCATTCAGGTATTTGTGCTTGGTTTCCTCAATCCTCTTATCAGCAAAGTCACAGCAATGTCAGTGTTCCACATGCTCCCTCAATCTGTCATGAACTCGGTAGTTTTCACGCAAGTAATGTTGTTTGCTGTTACACAAAACAATCGTTTTAATCGTTGATGCACTGCAAACCAGTTTAGGCATTTTTAACCTCCTGGCTACAACAAAACATCACATGAATACAATATATTTTAACAATTATTATTATCAAGTTGTTCTGGGATCTGTTTTTTTCTTTTCTTTGTTTTCTAAGATACAATACTACACATTTCCTGTTTGAGGCTATTAATGGTAAATTATGCATACAATGCACATTAGTTGCTTTATAGTTTACTGTTGAAACCGTGGAGATGTACTTTATTAGGTTAACTATTAACATACTGTATATCTTTTTTGTTCAGAATGACATTGGGAGCGATTGCCTCTGTGATCCTCGCCATAGGAGGAGCCGCAATGTTTTCTGCTCTTCATAAGATTGAGGAAGGACATGTGGGTGTTTACTACAGGTCAGTTGCTCAAGATTTTCCAGTAATCTGCTCCCAGAACTAAGCAGATGCTGCACAACATGTCAGTGAGTCTCTATAATATGGCTTGAATAACTGTATGTGCTTCTCTCCTCTCAGAGGTGGAGCTCTGCTGACCACCACCAGTGGCCCTGGATTTCATCTAATGCTGCCGTTCATTACTTCGTTCAAATCTGTACAGGTAAAAGGAAGACTTTTTATGTAAAGTTAAACTCTGTTTTCTTTTTCTTATTGCATCCTCTCTCTTTTCGTAAAGACAACCCTACAAACAGATGAAGTAAAGAATGTTCCTTGCGGCACAAGGTGAGGTTAAGTTCATTCATCAGAATCATGTGCATGCAAAGCAAGAGCAAGAAAGCCAGCATTAGTGTAGGCTTTTGGTTTTCTCTATTGCTACATACTAATTGAATTGGAACGTATTTTCTCAAATATGTATTTTGGATCATTTTTAACCCAAAAAAGCTACAGACTGCAGCTTTAAAGGTGCTAAAGTGATTTCTGATAAATGCTGTTGAAAATGAAATCAACATATTTGCTAGATATCTGTTCTCGTGCCCTGGATGTGCATCAACTGTGAATCAAAATAAATCTCCATCAACTGCAAGATGCTATCTTATCAATATGGGCCAATATTTCTAAAGAATGCTTTCAGCTCCTTGTTGAATCAATGCAACGTAGAATTAAGGCCGTTCTGCAGTTAAGGCATCCGGAAGGTCCGGTCAATTTGTTTTGGTGAGCGTTTGGAAATCGATTAAACCAGGCAATAGCCATTTTAACTCCCCATCCCCCCTTTTTCATCTTTTCTTTAATGCTTTTATCTTCGATCTATCCCCATCTATATCCCTTCTTCTTTGTTTACGCCTTTTTATTATTTAATTATTTTACAGTAAATAATAAATGATAGCAATAACATCATACATTCGCTACTTTACAGTACTACACATTCTCGATGGGGAGATATACAATGCGTCTATGTATGTAATGTGTGTGTGTGTGTGTGTGTGTGTGTCCATATTGTTTTCTGTTTTATGTTGGTTATTTGTTTGCTCATTTGATTCCACTCTTATTATGCATTCTTTTGTCTGATACTTACTTTTTCAACAACTATATTTGTCAATATTTGTTGTTTTTTTTTGCTTTTTGCTTTCTAATCTGTGTTGCATTGTTTGCTTAAAACACTTAAGAAACATTTACTCTAATCATTCTTATGCTGAATCTAATCTTAAATCTTATCATTCTTGTGCTGAAAATATTATTATTATTTTTTTTTGATGAATAGGAAGTGCAAAAGAATAACATTTACTTGAACTAGAAAACTTGTAACATTATAGACCATTTTGCAAGATGTAAACAACACTGGTCCAGAAGCACTTCCTGTTTCAGTTTTTTAACACTACATAAAAGCTGGGATAAAATACAACCAACAGAACTTGTAAAACTGAAACAAAAAGTTAAACAACATCTTTAAGATTTTTTCTTTACATGTGAAATAAAGAAAATAGTTACAAACTGAAACAGGAAGTGTTTCTGGACCAGTGTTGTTTACATCTTGCAAAATGGTCTATAAATGTCATTGGCGCTAAATTACAGCTGGCATAGCACAAGTTCACAAAAGTGATTGTATCGCAGATCATCTCAGACACATGCTGTTTTGAGAGACCCTGCGTGAGATTTATTTTAATTATTGCCAGATATGAATGAGTGTGATTTTTCACACTCATTCATATATGGCAACATGTTGTTTTGCTTTGCAGTGGAGGTGTAATTATCTACTTTGATCAGATTGAGGTGGTGAACTACCTTGTTCCCTCAGCAGGTAATTTTTTTTAATTTATTTTTTTTTGTCATTTATAATGTAGAACTGCATAAAAGGCTGTCGTTGGGGATGGAGAGCTGGAAATATTTTCCTGGCTTTGTAACATGGGATTGCCTACTAAAGAGCCTTTTGACATAGTCTGCTTGCTCATAAATATTGAATCTCGCTCAGTCAGATTATAACTGTCATTTATTTGATTTGCCCTAATTATCTCTTTCTTAACGTCATTGTCTGTTCTGCTGCAGTTTATGGCATTGTGAGAAACTTCACTGCTGACTATGACAAAGCCCTGATTTTCAACAAGGTTCACCATGAGCTGAATCAGTTCTGTAGTGTGCACTCACTTCAGGAGGTCTACATAGGTCTATTTGGTAAGTGTTGTCTTGCCATTCCGTGTGAAATGATTTTATATAATTAAACGATAGTTTTCTGCTTTAAGACCCATATTTCAAAGCAAGGGTCTCTTTCTTGCAGCTGACAGTAACTGCCTCACAAAAGACTCTCATTGAAAGTGCAATTTGTCAATGATGGGTGAATTTAAATAATTGTGTGCATATTTTTCTCTACTAAAATGTCAAGACACCCTGAATGCACAATATAATTCGCAAGGAAGGTGTAGGAAATAGAAAATACAGAAAAAAGGTCCAGTTCTTTATGTTTTTTTTAAGCTTTGTTTTTTGTTTACAGTGTGCAATATAACATGTGTTCATGTTTTGCGTGTAAAAAAACACACAATTTACAATTTACTTCACACAATGTACTTATCTGTATACCGCTGTTTTCACTGTCCAAAAAATGGGCCAATGACTTCCTTGCTCTATGAAGTCCCTCCTTCAGAAATAGGAAAGGGTTTAAAAGGAGACTTCTGTTAAATAAAATATCTCGCTAGGCATTGAACTTTGAGATAATTTTACAGGTATTTATGATATAACAGCAACATTACACACTAACTAAAGTTTGAAAAAAGGAATCGCAAAGAATGGGACCTTTAACAGTAATTAATTTAGGATTTTCTTTTGCTCTAGAAATGCATGTTAAAAATGTTGCAGTGTGAGAAATTCATAATGGCTTTAGATTTCAAAAATAAATGCACTTCACAATGGTGCACATGAGATTAGAATTCACCCAAATAGTATTGTTGTACATACACTTTTTTTTATTTTTGGATGAACAATGCCTTTTTATTTGCAGTTGTGAAAATTGTTCTATTGTAATCATAATACATAATATAATCATATGTAATCATAATATTAAAAAAAAAAAAATCAGATACTATTGATTTTGCCATGAATATATAGCCATTGCTGCTGATATGGCAATAAATCATACAGTAAGTAACTATTTGCAGTTGTGTTGTGATGAGAAAATTAGTTAAATGGTTTGCTCGTGCATAAATGACAATTGTCATTAATGACTCCCCTTCATGTCGTTCCAAGCCCGTAAGACCTCCGTTCATCTTTGGATCACAGTTTAAGATATTTTAGATTTAGTCCGAGAGCTTTCTGTCCCTCCATTGAAAATATAAGTACGATACTGTCCTTGTTCAGAAAGGAAATAAAGACATCATCAAAGTAGTCCATGTGACATCAGTGGGTTAGTTACAATGTTTTAAAGCATCGAAAATACACTTTGGTACAAAAATAACAAAAACTACGACTTTATTCAGCATTGAATTCTCTTCCGGTTCTGTTGTCAAGCTGCGTTCACGAGTCCGCAGTGAGGCAGATGAAGCAAGCCGCTGCTGACGTGTATCTGGTGTGTCCGTGTATTCGGGTTCAAATACTGTAAATATGGCTGGGCAAAAAAATGCAAGTCTTCCTCCGTGTCGAAATCCTTTGACATGTTTGCGAAGATTGTTTTGTTTACAGTGTGCGTCTCCCTCAGAGTGTAAACGGGCGCACCAGATAACACGTCAGCAGCGTCACTGAACGCGGATTAACAACAGAACCGGAAGAGAATACGATGCTGTTTTTGTTATTTTTGGACCAAAATGTATTTTTGATGCCTCAAAACACATTGTCATATGTGTCTGATGCGACACTGCTTTGATGATGTCTTTAGTTCCTTTCTGGACAAGGACAGTATACCGTGTATACATTTTCAATAAAGGGACAGAAACCTCTCGGACTATATCTAAAATATCTTAAACTCTGTTCCGAAGATGAACAGAAGTCTTAGCTTGGTCTTGGCTTGGAATGACATGAGGGTAAGTCATTAATGACATCATTTTCATTTTTGGAGTTCTGTGTATCATTCATAAAGTGACCTGTTGATTGTTCTCCTGCCTTAGATCAAATAGACGAGAATCTAAAGCTCACGCTACAGGAGGATCTTACCAACATGGCACCTGGACTCATCATTCAGGTGGGATTCATCATTTTTTTTGTCAATTTAGTCTGTTTTCTGCTGCAATTCACAGAGTTCTGTTCTTGTCAACATTTTGTCTTCTGTACATGTTATACATTAGTGCTTAGTTAAAGGATAGTCTGATTGTATTGTCTGAAAGAAGAAGAACAACTTTTTCTCTTACTCTTTCCTCCCCCCCGTAAGCAGGCAGTCCGTGTTACCAAACCAAACATTCCAGAAAGCATTCGCAGGAACTATGAATTAATGTGAGTTTATGAGAACCTTTGCTTGAAATATTTGTTAATGATCTTATTGTGTTACAACCAGGACCCGAAATGAACATGCACTATAACACAGTGAGTGAATGTAGTGGTAATAACTGGCCATGGTTTCTATTATGCCTCTATGACAAAGGAGTTATTATTCTTTCTTTTTTGTTTTTATTAATTATTAATCGTGAATATTAGTGACACACAGTACAGGACCCTGGTTACAGCATAATTGTCATTCTATATCTAAATTGCAACACTGTATTTTGGTCTAAAGTAAAAGTCAGTCTTTATCAATTGAGCTTGATTGAAACAGAATCTCACTTTGTCTTTATTTTGTGTCTTCCCAGGGAGAGTGAGAGAACAAAGTTACTGATTGCGGCTCAGACACAGAAGGTGGTAGAGAAGGAGGCAGAGACGGAGAGGAAAAAGGCTGTCATTGGTGAACAAAGATGTTTTTCTTAGAACTCTACCCGATTGGCATGTTCGGTCATGTGGTTTGGATACCAATGAAGTTGTTGCTTATTTAAAAGTAAAAGAATGTCGCTCTACTTTTTTCCTGTCTGCAGAGGCAGAGAAGGTGGCACAAGTGGCTGAAATCAAATTTGGACAGAAAGTTATGGAAAAAGAAACAGAGAAAAAGATATCAGAAATTGAAGGTAGGTGAATGTGTGTTCATGTTCCCTCAGAGGTTCAAGACTGCAATTTGGGAGAATAAAAACTGTTTGGATTAACCATATGGGCATTTGGGCCGATTTGATCTAAATATAAAATTAACAATGGTCAGGATCTGGACGAAATTACCTTATAGCATTATATACCCATTTCATAAATTAAATATAAAATTAAAGCAAAAGTTCTGGTTGAGGTAAGATTTTTTTTTTTTTTTTTTTTTTTTTTTTTTTAGGAAATTAACCCTCTGGGGTCGGCAAGCTTTCTTTTTTTTTTTTCACGTATCTTTTAAATACTTCATTTTTGGTCATGCAGATTTAAGAAATATAAATAACTGTTGAATGTCTTCTTTTTTATGTGTCCACCTACAATCGGCACAAAACATTGTGCTTTTGTAAAATAAAGAAAACAAACAGGGTGTGCTTTCTGGCTCTCCGTCTCCATGAACTTTTTTTTTTTGGAGCACGTCTCTAAACTTAAACAAAACTCAGTGAATACTATTCACTAATGCCTAGCTATATATCTTTATAATCATTTAAGTTGTCAGTCATTCTCATATCATCTCATTATCTTTTAATTAGATCACGCCCACGTAGAGCTTGCGCTATTCTAACTCAAATGATCTGAGGCAATACATGCAAACATGTCAACGCCCCCACATTACCTTGATAAAACACAAAAAATGTAATCAGATTATAGTAGCCTACTTTACGTCATCTTGCGAGGCGGTAAGGAATAATCTTGAGATACATCAGAAGTGCTGGTTTAAATTCATTTCGAGGAGTGACTGATTAAGATGTAGTACGTTTTTTTTTTGAATTATTAAGTGCTTTGTTGTTATCGCGATATGGAATAGCCTATTTATAGCACAATGAAAGTGCGTATCTATTGCACAAATGTAATTGCTCGAACCATACTACGCCAAAAATAGTTTTTGCTCCCCCTGTCCCCCGTATATCGGGATTACCATAATTATAACTTGTTAACTCTGAATTTTCAGAGGTTTGGGTGAACTGCCTGAAAATATTATGTGAGATTTTTAGCATGAATTTAAATTGCATTGGCTATCCTTCATCACACAATTCTGACTAAATGTCAGTGTGATATCTGTTGTGTTCATTTTGCATTTCTTTTTTTTTTTTTTTTTTTGGATTTTATAGACAGTGCTTTCCTTGCTACGCAGAAAGCAAAAGCAGATGCAGATTTCTACACCGCACAGAGAGCAGCTGAGGCCAATAAGGTAAACGATTAAAACTGTACCCTCATTAACCCTTGTGCTTCATTTAAAAAAAAGTGACACACAGCTCCATAGAGGACAAAAATGTCCACGTCAAAAAAACTGTCATACAAATTTGAAGATTGGGAGCACAGACTTAAGTTTGGTATAATTTTAAAGACCCTTGGCAGATTATTGCTGAAGTAAAAAAAAAAATAAAGTTATATAGTTAATGAAAATTATTTATGAACATTACTTTATATAAAATAGATATTTTATATAAAACAAGTTGAACTCAACTCAAATAATTTATATAAATAAGTTGTGTTCCAAATTTGAGGTTGATATCTCAAAAAATGAGCTTTCAGTAAGATTTTGTTTGAGTGCAGTAACAGAGTTTCCCCATTGGATGCCATGCAGCAAAACTCCACTGGTGCACACAGTGATTGGATTTTTGATTTGCAGTTGAGCATATAACACACATACCAACCACACTTTGATATCCATACCAACACACCCATACAAAAACATAATTAAAAAGGCCAAAAATGTCCCTAAAGAGGCACAAGGGTTAATGTGCTCATTGATTTACGAAACATGTTGTTCTCTTCTAATCTCATCTCTTCCCACAGCTCAAGCTGACCCCCGAATATCTCCAGCTGATGAAATTTAAGGCAATAGCAGCTAATAGTAAGATTTACTTTGGTAGTGAGATCCCTCACATGTTTATGGACTCAGGACCAGGAAGCTCCTCCTCCGCTGCTTCCAAAGCCATAGACGCCCTCTCAGAGGGGATACTGGACTTGGAATGATGTGAGATGGGGTAGAACTCTGGGTTGTAGCATTGAGAATAAATTAACGGGTAATAGCCTAAGACTAATAGCCTGTCTGTAGACTGCATTGGGACAATCTGCAGCTGAAACCACTTCAGTAAAGTAACACGGTGCTTTACCTGTATCTATACCCTGGTGACTTGATCACAAGCCAGTGATGCTTGAACAGAGTATTATACTTTTCAATAGAACAGAATGTGGCAGTTTGAATTTGAATGTGACAATGTACGCACAAGATTTGTGCATGGTTTAAAATATCGTTTATAAACTGAAACAGTCATTATGTTGTTTGTTTATTACACTGAGGGATTGGTTTATGTACTTAATTGACTTCTTTGCATCTTAAAGGCTTGTATACCTCAGGGATTATTTTATTGGCTTTACCTTAAATTACTTTTTTTTCCCCCCCTCAGAATGAATGAGTGTTTTCGATTAGGATGTTCAAAAAAAAAATTGCCGTTTGTTTTATATTTTCTCTTGCTTAGTAAACTAGCTCCATCTATGGGGAAAAAATGGGGACATTTGGCCAAGTACTGAGAGAATCTATTGAGAGAGGTAAGAAATTCTAGTGAGAAGATATTTGTGTAAACCAACAGCAGAGTAAGGTCATGTGATAACTGTAGCATAAAGCATTTCATTTGTTGCTAAATCTAGAAGTACTGCATTATATACAAATTAATATGTATATATGTGTGTGTAAATTGTGTGCAGAGTTTTAGTATTTTGAATGCACTATACAAATTATGAATTTTGAATACACTGACTATATAACGATGTCCTCCTTTAAATCGGCAGGCGTTTTGTGCCTTCTCTAGCTCGTGTGCAGCATTGATAAGCCCAGAGCGGGACTGTGATCGCTTAAACCTTCCAGTTCTTCTGTCACTTTCACATTTCAATGGTTTTGAGTGTTGACACAGAAATGAGTCTTTGTCTCAGTCTGGTCATTGACCTTGAAAAATGTATCATGTCTGTGGGCTGTTTCTCACTCATGGAATGTTTATTCAACTTCTTGGTTAGTTATGTTTTCAATATGTTCCATAAACAATTTCCATTTCTCCATTTCTTCCATTTCTTTTCTAAAATTGTTACATATGAAGATCATGTTCAGTATATCTCATTCTAGTACCAACTAATGGATCAACTCATCTGGATCAATAGCTTGCTTCCATTTGTAGTTAGTATGTTAACATATACATATCTGGAACTGTAAGGAAGTAAAAACTTTGCCACTGATATGTGTATAAATGTTGTTAAATAAACAGCACACCTCATATTTGTACATTTGAAATTATATATTAATCCCATTAGTGTTACAGTCTTTAAAAGCTGTAATTTAGTGAGAACTTAAGTGTGACAGAACAATTGTGTTTAGGCGGAGACTTTTGTTTTAAACATTTTAGCAGATTGTGTAATACTTTGTTAAAAATTTCAGAGACTCATCAGAAATTCCCAAAGACCTTTACTGTTCTTGTCTGTTTTTTTGCTGGAACATTGAGTGTGTTTAGAATCACGGCCTCTTTTTTGTGTCAAGTTCAGTTTCTTTATTTCATGTATGTTAACAATATTTAAAAGTTGTCTATGTATTGGGTGGGTAATTGTTTATACATTAAAGTGTTTTTTTTTTCATTAAAGTCTTTGTGTTCAGATTTTATTGTATTAATGTATTATATATTAAGATGACATCCTCAAAAACATGCTTTGGGACAGGTAGGTCAGTCTTACTTTATTTAATTAACACTTTAATGACCCGATCTGATGAATGAAAGGGAGAACGACAAAAGGTCTGTTGCATAATAGGCCCAAAAATATTAGTAAAGACCTTAGGCAGATAACCTGGTCTTGGGTGAAGAAAGGCTTTCACCCAGCCAGCACTGAAAATCTAGCACCGGGTCCAGTTGATGTTATCTGCACCATGAAGTGAACAACCGCCACTTAAAAGCATACAATTTATTCATGGAGGGAGCTCTGGATCTAAATTTGGTCTCAATGTCCTCAGTAGAGTGGCCAGATTTTATGAACTGAGCCCAAGCCAAGAGGTTCCTCAAATCTGGACGAGGGTGAAATATCGTGTCCCCTGCCTGGGACATCAGGTTCCTCCTGATGGGAATCTCCAGAGGAGAGCCTTCAAGGAGAAGCCCCATTCCAGTGAACCCTCTCCAGAACTCCCTGACACAGAGTGATTGTTTTGGTTTTTGGTTGTCAGCATTGTTTACCTCTGGTTTCCTGTATCTTATTTTTGTAATTTACAATTCATAATGTTTTCGATCAAAATGCCACCCTTGATGCTTCTAATTTGTGTATTATAAAGTTATAGGTGATGAAGTAATGAAGATAGAGGTCATCCTGTTAAATTGTCCTGTTAAAAGAGCTAAAGTTTTCTCCCATCTAAAATCTTTCAAACCAGATATATTGTTTTTACTAGAATGAAATGTTTCCCAAAATCAATCCCTTTTGAAAGTTTTTCTTTTGCTATTTTAGCAAATGAAAACACCAGAAATATTTTTAATTGTAGTCAATAATTCTTTGCTTTAGAAATGGACCCAATTATCCATTCAGACCTAGTCCTGCAACTTATAACTTATCACCCATTCTCTCTTATTAGAGAACAATCTGAAATATTTTCAAATTAATCAGTAATTCATTCAGTAATTCATATTTTCAAATTAATTCAGTAATTCTCAATACTCAGTCGTACAGTTTGATTGAATCAAATAAAACATCAACAAACACCACACAAATAAACTTAGGCCACGTTTACACAAAGCCGGATATTTAGACAAACGAATATTTCTCTAATGTACATGTTTTTTTGCATGTGCTGTAGTCTTTCTTGCAACTACAGCGGACTACATCTAGTAATTCTGGTGGTGCCAAAGGCCAACCCGATCTCACGACCAAATCGCACGAATTCGACGAATGATTAAAAAGTGGCTAATTCGTAGCAATTCATACAACCTCACTCGTACGAATTAGTACGATTTTGCTAAATCGTAGCCTACATATTTTACGAATTAGCCAATTCGTATGAATTCGTACGAATGACCTACCCCTTACCCCGCCCCTAAACCTACCCATAACGTGGGTTTAGACAAATCATACGAATTCGTACGAGTGAGTTCGTACGAATTAGACACTTTTTAATAATTCGTCGAATTCGTACGAATTGGTCGTGAGATAGCGTAGCAAAGGCTGATTATTGGCATAAATCTCCCATCCAAAACATGCCACCCCCAGTCTTTTGGGTCCATACATTCACTTCCCCCTTTCCACTCCATCATTTGAAGACCCAAAGACTATGGAATTTGCAGCTGTTGGTGTTTGAGGGAGAGTTTGAGGTTCCACTGGAGATGAGTTCTGAGTTACATTTACATTTTAAATGTATTCGTTTAGCTGACGCTTTTATCCAAAGCGACTTACAATTGCTATATATGTCAGAGGTTGCACAACTCTGGGGCAACTAGTGGTTAAGTGTCTTGCTAAGGGACACATAGGTCTCTCACAGAGAATTCCAAACCGGGTCCCTCCCTCCAAAGGCAAGTGTCTTATCCACTGTGCCATCACCACACCTCCCTACATTACAGAGAACTCACAGCTCACAACATAAACACATTTGCATTGTGGCTTGTTCAATATGTGCAGAAACGATCACTGGTGATCAGCGCGAGATGCATGCCGGTTGGAAATGTGTCCGAGTGCGGTCAGAGCCCGTCTACGGAGAGCCTTGGCACTATATTAGCCCTATTGTATCATCTTGGTTGCAGTTCCATTAAAATTCCACTGGGGGTGATGGAGTGCAGGCTAAATGGGAGACTATGGAGCTAGACAGCTAAATGTATCTCTTTCTCCTGCTTGTCGTTGAATCAACATAGATTTATTGTTGATTCCGCAAATTTAATATAGATTATAGGCCTAAAGTCGAATGAATCAGTACGCATGTCCTTTTGAGCTATGGACTGCAGCTTTAAGTTGAGCTTGAAACCAGGACATAGCACAAATGCAGGTAAGCCATACTTTTTGCTGCTGGTGTTGTGCTAACTTCCTCTACAAACTTACCTTTACTTAAGGAGCACAATTAGGAACCATAGCACCCCTAGCAGTGTGGAAGAAAGACTGCAGAAAAAAAGACTTCGTAACAAGCTTGCCTGTTACACGGTCATTCGTCTAAAATAACAAAGCCTGTAAAACTCTATTCCCCGATACGAGTCATTTTTTGAGCACACATCTCAGCTACACATCTCAGCAGTGTCTATACCCAGCACTTAAATCCCACTGACTTAACCTTCCCCCTCTTTAAACTTCTGTAGCGCAGTCTCAGTGGCAGTGGAAAAAGTCCAGAAGGCAAAACCGGGGCATCTGGGATCTTTCCTTCTCTGTCAGCCCGACAGGTTAAGCCAAAGATGTCGCACCATGGCAACCAGGACAGCATGAGAGTGGCAGATAGCAAGGGCCGCCTGCATGGTGGCACGGAGGGTAAGGATGGTGGCAGTGCTCCAGCACTGCATCTGAAGCTACCACCTGCCTTCAATAGGTACAGTAGCTTGTCAGCTTTGTACCTGCAGCACTGCCATGTTGTGCAGGGCACTGCCAGCCAGGGCCCACTGCCATGTATGATTTTCCCACAAGCTGAGATGTAAATTGCCAGGGCTTCGAGGGCAAAACGGGAGTCTACCATAAAGATGCCACGTCTGATGGGAGGTAACCAACTAGCAATCGCTCCATCTGAGTCATCATACCTGTATTCCTCCAACCCCCTCGATGTTTGCTTAATGAGTGAAAAAAACTCAGGCAGAAAACAGTGAATTTCCTCATTGTGAAGGTCTGGCACTCTAAAAAACGATTCGTTGGCCGAACAACCATTACTTATAAAAGTAATTGGATCAAACATAAAAAATTAAGTATTCATAACTTTTCAACGTTTACTTAACATATATAGTGTGTGTAACACAAAAATATAAGTTACTAGGTGCACTTAAATGTATGTATAAATAATATGAAAAATACATAAGGCATGTCAACTTGCGTCAAAATTAAGTAAATCTAGCATATCATTTTAAGTACTATATGAGCCACGTGATATGCAATTTCCCGTGATGCCTATCCAGACAAAAAATTTAAGCCATTTTATTTCACAGCACATGTGAAGACATTGAGAAGAGGTAAGCTTATTTTTTGTACTTAGGCCTACACATGATCATTTATTGCATTTTTGGTCAAGAAATTTACTTTTAACTGAATTTCAGAATTGCTACAAATTTTGCATCAACAATTAGAAACGTGTTACTTACGAATGTAAACGTTTGTAGTCTACATGTAAATGAATGAAATAAGTGTTTTGCACGCGAGTATTTGAAGAGTATATTGTGTTTTTTCAAAATAAATGACCATGATGTTGGCTTATGCATTAATGGTGTGTTCACACAGAACGTGAATTTAATTATTTGCGATAGCAGATTACATTCATAGTCAATGCGAAGACGCATCATTCGCGCCGGGCGTCGCGAATTGGGTGACTCGTTTGCCGCGAACGTCTTCCTCGTATCGGTAGAAAAATTTGAACTTGAGCGGGCTGCGGAAGATTCAAGCGCCTAACTAGACGCGACGTGTTTGACCGTTCGGTTACCAATTCGGACGGCGCTTTCTCCCCCACGGATAGCCTATTATAGGCCTACTTTATTAGCGAGTTGTTTTTGGATAAAACAAATGTACCTTGCATATTCCCATATTCTCTATCTATCGTGGGGAAGGGGGCTTTGGGCGCGGGTTAGCCTACTTTTGGTAACGTTAACATAAATATTACATTCAAAAACACATTGCCTACAGCTCCGTGTGCACAATTTATCATTAAATAATGGCAATCTTGATTCTAGCACAATATTATTCCTAAATGACAGCGACATTCAGTAAATTAAACCTTCAAAATTATTATCAAAATAAGTAAATACCCTTTAAACAAAAGTTTAGCTTCAAATAAAGATTGTAGATCTTTACTTTTTTGCAGTTACTGAAGAGATTCGTTCAAAACCTCTGGACAAAAGTCATTAATTAACTTCTGTTTTGTTTAAATTAATAGATATTAATAGACAAAATTTTATATTTATAGGCATTTAATAATGGACTAATTTGTTACATTTAATTGTTTTTTATTGATTTTTGAAAAAAATAAATATATAGGCCTGCCCACCAAGCCTTCATTTCTTTGATCCAAGAAAAAACTGTAATATTGTGACTATTATTATTATTATTTTAACAACTATTTTCTATTTTAATATATTTTAAGATGCAATTTAAAAGTTTTGGGTAAAAAATAAATAATAAAGTGAAATGCTTTATTGTGTGTGATTTGCATGTTTAATTTATTTTAAGACATGTAAGCTGAAGATCTAAAATAAGTTAAAATGGTTGGTTCAACTGATTTAATTGTCTTATTTTTATATATAAATGAGCTTAAATGTTAAGTAAACAGAACTAAGATTTGTTTTGATCTCACATGGCCTGCACTGTGTTGGATTTACTTAAAAGATATATGCACCATTTTTGCGTCATACTTTTTAAGTAATCCGTAATCATTTAATTAAGTAAATTTTTAACTTGGAATAATTTTACATAAAATAAACTTAAATATTTGAGTTCA